TAGCCCCTATTGTATGACAGGTGTCATCTGCTTAGGTTTCATTTTTAGTTCCTCAGCCTTAACATCAAATCAAGCAGCACAGAAGAACAATGAAAGTGGTCAGATCATGCTGCGGGTCATAGTTTCATAGTTGGTAGGGTCGGAAGGGACCTGAGGAGATCATCTAGTCTGACCCCCTGCCATGGTAGGAAAGAGTACGGGGGTCAAACGACCCCAGCCAGATGTTCATCCAGCCTTTTTTTAAAGACCCCCAGCGTAGGAGCCAGCACCACTTCTTTTGGAAGCTGGTTCCAGGTCCTAGCCGCCCTGACAGTGAAATAGTACCTCCTAATGTCTAGCTTGAAACTACCCTCAGCTGGCTTGTGTCCGTTGTTTCTTGTAACTCCTGGGAGTGCTCGGGGGAACAGGGACTCTCCCAATGCCTGCTGGTCCCCCTTGACTTATTTATAGACTGCCACTAGATCCCCTCTCAGCCTTCTCTTTTAGAGGCTGAACAGGTTCAGGTCCCTCAGCCTCTCCTCATAGGGCCTGCCCTTCTGCCCCCTGATCATGCAGGTGGCCCTCCTCTGGACCCTCTCCATGTTGTCCACATCGCTCCTGAAGTGTGGTGCCCAGAACTGGATGCAGTACTCCAGCTGTGGCCTGACCAGTGCTGCATAGAGGGGGAGGATCACCTCCTTGGACCTGCTTGAGATGCATCGGTGGATGCACGACAAGGTATGGTTGGCCTTCCTGACCGCGTCCCCACTTTGTCGTCCCATGTTCATTGTGGCATCAATGATGACTCCAAGATCCTTTTCTGTCTCGACACTGGTGAGAAGGGAGTTCCCCAGCCTGTAGGTGTGCCGCTGGTTCTTCCTCCCCAGGTGCATTACCCCTCACTTGTCAGTGTTGAACCCCATCCTGTTCTCATGGGTCCATGCCTGTAACCTGTCTAGATCCGCTTGCAGCCTGTTCCTTCCTACTAGCGTACCCACTTGACCCCACATCTTAGTGTCATCAGCGAATTTGAACAGGGTGCTTTCTACCCCCTTGCCCAAGTCACTGATGAAGATGTTGAATAGTGCGGGCCCAAGGACCGAGCCCTGGGGAACCCGACTGCCCATGTCCCTTCAGGTCGAATAAGACCCGTCCACCACCACCCTCTGGGTGCGGCCCTCCAGCCAGTTAGCGACCCATCTGACCATGTAGGCATCAACACCACTGTTTCCTAGTTTCTTACTGAGAATGGGGTCAAGGAAGAACCCAATTTCTTACTGAGAATGGGTCAAGGGAGCACTGATCAATTGTGCCAGAAAACGCCATGAGAAAGGTCCCACATTGCAAATATAGTAGCAAAAGAGGAAGTAAAAGATTTTCCACAACAAGTTTTTGAAGATGGCAGAAAACTGTTTTGCTAAATGTGCAATGTTGTTCTGGATTATCAGAGGAAATTGACAATTGCAAACTCAAGTGTCAAGAACAGTGGTGCAATTCCAGGAGGTTACCAGCTTCTGGTTAGGTATCTTACAGATGTCTACAACATTGAGAGAAATTAATGACAAAGTGAAAGATAACTGTGTGTCAGTTATATTCAGTGAAATGACTGATGATGAAGGCTGTTATGTACTGACCATTTTACTCATGCCATTGGTGAGAGATGCTACTGGTAGGGTCATGCGGAAAATAAATCACAGCACTGTGTCTTAAGCAGTCATTCAGACTGCATAGTTATGAACTTGCTTACAACGATGTGGTTCTCTTTGACACGGATAATGTGGCATACATGAACAAAGCTTACACAACTGTACTGTTTGGGCTGTTTCCCAATAGCATCCACATAATGTGCCTTGCCCACATAATCAATCTGGTGGTGGAAAGTTTTGGCAAGCCATCCGAGGATGCCAGTGCAATGGTAAGAGCTTTCTCACAAATGTTCTATATGGCAGGTGGCAGGAAGATGAGGTACTTAAATTACAAAGTTCCCAGTATGACAATGGCACCAAGCCCAGTGCCAACTAGATGGAACAGCTGGTTTGCTGCTATACAGTACCATGCAAAGCACTTTCAACATTATCATGGCTTTGTGGAAGAAGAAATAGCCATGTGTGGCAACTTGCCACCACATTCATTGCAGGAACTTGCGAAAAAGCTTTCAGATGAAGCCCAATGTTTGATGCTGAAAGCTGCCTTGCATTTCATCAATGAAATGTGCAAGCCAATCATTGGCCTAATGAGTACATTTGAAAGCCAGTGACCCTGCATTCTCTTTGCCTTTGAGAAAATGGAGGAACTTCTGTTTTCTTGAGAGAGATGCTCAGTTTTCAGAGGAAAGCACCCAAAAGTTTCTCAGGGCTGAAAATGTCAACATTGTAACAACTGAGCAAAGCAGCAAGTTGGTGCACCTGTTCCCTTCAGCTGCTGACAATTCAGCTGAAAAGCTGAAAAAGGACATCAGTGTTACTGAAAGCTGGCAGCCTGCAAATAAACTGCTGAAATGAGTTAGAATTTTCAGACCCAGAAGAGTTCCTGTAATGTCTCATATCAAGGAGGGCTATGCTTCAATTCCTGGCTTCAGTGATGTTTCAGCACAGGAGTTTGCTTTGTATACTGGGAAGGTGGCACCCAACATGATCCAGGGTGCTCTACAGTCAGGGGAAATTGATATTGCCCTGTTTTGGTCATCTATGGCTCATCTTCCACAATTGAAAAAAATAGCTTTTAGATGTATACATGCTGTAACAAACACAGCTGATGTAGAGCTCAGCAACTTATTTTCCTTTCCAGCTGCAGGCATTCTCTTTCAGAAGACAAACCAAAAGAGTGGGTCTTCCTTTATTTCAACCGTGGAACTGAGAAAGACTTCAGGTTAACAAATACATTTTTGTTTTAGTATTATCGATGCTTTATTTAATTCTTCTTATTATTGTTGTTATTTATTGGACTTATTTTGTTGGTATTTTGACAAGTACTGTACTGTGTGAAGAACCCAATATAACTGCAATAATTTTGTTGCATTGCACAGAAGGACTCTTAGCATTAATTTAATTGATTTTGTTTTGAACTTGGACTTTGAAAAGAAATGAGTGTCTAATTTACTGGAAAAGGAAAAAAAAAAGAGTAATTTTGCTGAATATTAGACGATCTAATCTCGGTATAACTGTGATAGGCAAGTTTGCTTTTACCCTGAAATAAAATAGTTTTCTGTAGCATATTGTTAGGTTAACAATAATTTAGATTATTAAAAAGTATTAGCCTTGTAGCTAAACACGAGGCATGACCTGTGGCCTAGCAATGCTGCTGACCACAAGGCAGAATGATAGCTAAGCCAGCCATTTTCTTATGCCAAGTGCCTTAACTATTTTTTTTTTTTTTTTTTAAAAAGCAAAAATTAAATCTGTGTACTGAGTACCAGTTGCAGCTAGAAGTGAGATAAGATAAGGCGGGGCCCAGAAGAAAGAAGATGGTACAGCGGCGTACAGGAAAACAGATTGGAATGTGTAAGATAACACTAACTTTTTTCTTTTTGGAAAAGTACTGATATTTGTAATGCACCATGTAAGGAGATGATTACCATAAGTATTGCATATTCAATAAGCTTGTAGTTTTCTTTGTTAGAAACAGTATAAAAGACGGCCCCACCTTTCAGTGGGGGCCATTTTGCCTCTTTGCTGGTTTATGGTCATTTGCTCGAGCAAATAAACCGCAGTTAACCCTTTACCCGTGTTGTCTGGACTCGACGCGGCTAGACAACGGACTCTAGGGAGTTTTCTCCCGCGACATAACAAGTCCTTATCGTTTTAATTTAAAAAAGCATACCTGCTGGGTCATATTTATTTTTTGTTCACAGAATGGTACTAAAGATTCTGTGTTAAGAAGTGTTGTATAAATACAAAGTCCCTACATATATTTCTAAAGGTTTAAATAGTGTTATATTTAGTTTACTTTGTTAAAAAAAAAAGTAATGTTTTATATAATTGAGTTTTTCTGCACATAATTTTGAATTTTTATGCACATAATTCCCTGGGGTGCACCTTAACTTTGAGTAATCAAATTTCTCCACCATGAAAGCCTCCCTGAGGGAAAATGCTGCCCCTTGCTTTGCCAAGCTGCTTTCTCTAGTCCTTTTAAAACATGGAGAACATGGTCACTTGCTTCTTGCTCTGACCCTCAGCCTCTACAGCAGCATTGCTCTTCATGGCTAGGGACAGACATTACACATAAACCAGTCTAAGCGACCAGAAACTGGCTAATGACCCTCTTTCCTTTTTCATGGTCTGGATGTTCTATTAACCAAGCTATCCTTTCTTCTGCAATTCTGCTCTCTGTTAGTTGCTTCTAGTAACATAGCCAGTGGTGACACATCGGGGATGCATGGGCACCCTCGGAGACTGCCGGTGCACCCCCTGATAGGCTCAGCTATCATTTTAAATCCGTAGCCTGTGCCTCTGCAGCTGGGAAGCGGCAGCTCTTGCAGCCTCCCAGCCACCGAGGCGCGCAGTGCATCGTGCGCTGGGAGACTGCAGCTGCTGCAGCCTCCCAGCTCTGGGCCTTCCCCACAGCTGCCAGGGCTCAGTCCTGCAGCCAGTGAGACTCAGCCCTGGCAGCACATGGACGCTGGTGGGGACTGAAAGTCTCACCAGCCGCAGCACTTGGAGCTGTGGGAGCTTGCTCTTTGATGGTACAGGGGGACCCCAAGATGGTAATCCCAGCAATAAGGTGTGATAGGATCTGATGCTGGATCCCACATGTAGCATGGGTGTGGCTGCACATGTGCAAGCAGGCCAGGCAGCTGCAACACGTGAGGCAGGAGGTGTCCTCGCCCCCTCATGCTCGGAGCTGCCGCGTAGAGCTTTGAGGCGCCAGACCCCCTCATGCCGTGCCGCAGTAGGAGCGCTGCCCCTTTAAGAGCCTGCCCTCTATGACAAGCGCATTCAGTTCCACCCCCCAGTCGCTCGGCTGAAGTGGGGGGGGGGGGGGCGCGGCGGGAGGGGGGGGGGGGGGGTGCAGCCGGAAGTGCTTCCGGGCTGGGGTCGCGCAGGCGCAGCGAGGAGGAACGTGGCCTCGTCGGGACGGTTCCATCCGCTCTCCGCGTATTGTCCCCTCCGCCCCGCACTGTGGTACAGCCCAGTGAAGGCGGTGGCTGACCGTCCTGCGGGCGGTGCGCGTGCGCAGCTGTTGGTTTCCAAGGACGCGGGGTGGTTGCTAGGGGGGAGCGGCGCGCAAGGCCAGTAACTGCCGGCCCGGCCGCAGCCATGGTCCGGCTGCACGTGAAACGGGGCGACGAGAGCCAGTTCCTGCTGGACGCCGCGGCCGAGGCGCCGCTGGACGAGCTGACGCGCCTCGCAACCGCCATCTACAATGGGAGGCTCAAGGTGCAGCGGCTTTGTGCAGGTACCGCCGCGCTGTGCCCGGCTCGGCCCGCCCCGTCGTCGGGGAGCACGAGGTTCCCTGGTGCACAGGCCAGATCTGTGTTCTCTGCTTGCGGGCCTCCCGGCAGGCCCAGACGTTTGGCAGCGCGGGAGCAGCGGCAGGCTCAATTGCTGCTCCCCTGTTCCCCACTTTCCAGGCTCAGGGGAGCCCTGTGAGCT